GCTGAAATCCAAGAACAGCTTTCAGTCACTGAACTTCCTCCCAGCAAGTCGTCTGTGATCATGTTTTGTAAGTAGCCTCTGCTGAAATCTAGAGGACATAGGTCTGAGTCACATATTTCTATCTGAGCAGAGAACACACTTGAAAACATGCCATTTCTTTGACATGAAAACATCTGAGATCCAAAGGAGGTTCGAAGGTTAGAAAGTGGAATGTAGGAGACCAGTATTCCAGTCCGACACAGATTCCAAGTCACTATTTCTCGGCCCGTTTCCCATATGTTCAGTGGGATTAGCAGTGCTTCATCTCACAAAGTCCTCATGTTTGTTGGTGGACAGCACAAGGACTTTGTATCAGACGTGGTGGCAATTTGGGGCCCTCCAGTCCTCAGTGACATGATTTTTGCAACAAGAGCCAACAATGGCTCTATGGGGCAGTCTTGAGGATGGGGGAGGGGGCTGAAGACGCATCTCTGCGTGCCAGAGTCACAAGCAGAAGAGGGTCAGCATCTAATACAAAATCTTCATATCAATCACCAACAAATGCCACTTTGTAACATGTAGCGAACCCCTTAAGCTGTCTGTGGCATGGCACGTATGAGATTTGTATTGTGGGGTTAAAGAGCCACCCAGTGTTTCCATTTCTGCAATGAAGGTATCTGAAAATAGCCATTAATCTCTAATGAGAGTCCTTAATCTCATTAACTGCTTGAGTCACCTCCTCACCTCTTCTTCCTTAGTTGTAAACTGGGATGTTCTCTTCTGCAGCTGGTCTTGCAGAGGGTTCTCTTTCGCCCTCTTGTGGTCCTTTGACAAGTCACACTGTTCATCTCTGGCAGGGCTGAGGACTCGACTGTTTATGGATATATCCTGGTCTATTTAAAAAAACCAGACAGAATTACATCCTTTCATTTCAGCATATCACACTGTAAGGCTGCAGTCAGACCTCAGGCTTAGCTCGGTCTGGCTGTGCCTCTAATGTATCCAGTGTTATTTGTCCCAGAGAGATTTGCTACCCTTATCCTGCCTCATTGTGTGCTCACTCCATGGTTGACCATTCAGATTACGGCTGCGTGGTAATCATAAAGTGGGCGGGCAGGTGGCATCCTTTTAAAAATTTGTTTTTTAAAAAAGTTTTAAATGTTTTCTGGGCATGCACAGAAGCACTTATTCAAAGCATCACTCCTTTTTGACAGCTCTGCGATCCTTCTGCCAAGTACTGTGATCACTAGTTCCTATACAACTGCATTTCTCCACCAGAAATCACTCCCTTTCCCACCAGATCTTATTCCCTTTCCCATTAATTTCATAGGGAAGTTTTCTGCTTTTCTCTCCCCATAGAGCTTTCCCACCAGGGCAATATTATGAAGTGGATTGGAGTAAAGTTCTGGGGGCAGCACCCTAGCCGCCAATATGGAAGCCTAAATCAGGACTATTTCCAGCACCATCCTACCCCCAAAAAATTGCAGAAAGGGTTGTTTTTCTTGAATTTGTCACTCTAAAACAGCCCCCCGTGGGCTCCAATCACAACAAATATTGCAGTGAAGAAGCACATAAGTCGTGATTCAAAACCCTTGTGCAAAGATCCAATGATGTGCACATCGCTGATTTTTTTAAAAAGGAGCAAAAACAGAAAGGAAGGTTCAGACTTCCCATATGGCTTGAAATTGCAATGGAAGGTTCAGACATCTGGAAATGCAGCGTGAAACCAGCTACATCTGTTAAAGAGCAGACTTTCCCCAGTGTCAAAAAAACACACAATCGGGAATGAGTGACAACAGAGGTGGGGGCAATGACTGTGGGATGGGATAGGGACGATGCTGTCTAATTGTGCATTTTAAATCTGGAAGGGTACAACAATGACATCAGATCAAACAGCTCATTTGATCGCAGCCGTAGACAGCTATCTCGCCTGACTACTGCATGAGTTAAATATGGCTGGGCCATCACAGCATCTAAGATACTCTGAATACATTAGCTATATTTTAAAATAATCATTTTTGTGTTTCAGAGAACATGAAACCACAGTTTAACCATGACTAGTTTGTGAAACTAGGATTCAGTTTGCTGATGATCAGTCAAATCTGGGTTTGCTTCAACAAATACTGGTTCTATCACCTTTGCTCTGAAGGCAGGAAGACAGTGACAGAGAACAATCTAGAATGTCTACATTTGTGTATCATGCAAAACCATAGTTAAGGTTGTCTTTAATAGTCCAGCTCCAAACCATGGCTTTAGATCCTGGTTTGATAGACCCTAATCATAGTTAGTAGACTGGCCTGCATTCTGACAATCACATTAAACACAGTTAAACTAAACCATGGTTTTGTGTGATGTCTCAGTTCAATGAGATCTAATCTGGTTTCTTCTGTCATCCCACTGAAGTTGTATAAATATACGCAGGGGTCTTTTCCTAGAAAAAGAGCTGCAGGAGCTCATTAACATACAGTATGCTAATGAGCTACTAGGCTATTAGCATAATAGCTCATTAGCATATGGAACGCCCCCTGACATCACTGGAAGTGATGTCAGAAGGGGAAGCAAAAGGGGGGAGGCATATTCAAAAGCCTCCCCTTCCCTTCCCCAGTGGGGGGGTGTGAAGCAAAGAGAGAAGGGGTTTAAAGTTTAAACTCCTTCTCACTAGAGTTGGGCCGCAGAAGGAGGAAAGATGGAAGGAAAGAGAGAGTGTGTAGAGAGAAGGAATGAAAGAGTGAAAGAGAAGGAAAGAAGGAAGGAAAGAGGGGAAAAAAGAGAAGGAAAGGAGGGAAAAAGAGCGAGAAGGGAAGAAGGAGGGAAAGGGAGGAAAAGGAGGGAAAGAAAGAGGGCAAAGAGATGGGGGGAAGGGGAAGGCTCCCCCCCCAATCAAGGCTCCGCCACCCCCCGCGGATCCCTCACTTACCCCAGGAGGCGGCAGGGGGCCTCTTCTGGCCTCCCAAGGCCGCAGTGCTCCGGCGCTGCCCCGGGGAGGCAGCAGGGGGCCGCAGTGCGGGGAGCTGGGGGCGGGGATTACTAACACTGCCTCTGGCGCGCTCCGGCCCCAAAAGACCCCTGAATATACGATGTGCCGTCTCTCAAGCTGTGATGTTGTAAGTTGCTTTTGGTTTACATTGGAGTGAAAAATGGGGTATAACTAAACAAGTAAAATATATCAAGGAAATCTTATAGGAAATCAGGTAAATTATCCATCTCACTACATCATCAGCAGATCACGAAACCCAGTTCTTAGCATCTCTGATTCCTTTTTCAGCCATGTAGTTCAGTAACTAATTAAGATGCAGGGGAACAAAGCAGTACAAATCCTTGTGAAACTACAGACCCTCCAAAGTTATGAGTGATTCTCTTAAGAAGGTCAATAAATAGATTCTGCTTCCATGCTCTTGGCTTACCTGACTGCACATGTGGATACCAAAGTGCATTGCTTTGCCTAGCAAGAATTATTTTGTTAGTTAGGTTAGCTGTTATTGCTTTTTTATCTTTTGCAACTATCTGAGATTATTTCTTACCTTTTATTAACCTAGGAGGTGATGCCGGTGGCCCATAATATCTGGGGCAAATTTAGTAGGGAGGCAGGAACAAAGGTGCCAGCCTCAGACATTGGCTGCGTTCAGATGGGCACTTCAATCAACTGTTGCCTCACCTCTAATTGAGCCAGATTATTTAGTGACAGAAAATCCTGATCAGACTCACCCCTTTTAGTGTGCTTCAAAGAACCTTTACATGATCAGATGGCAGCAGACAGGGTCAGCTTGTCAGCCATTTTTAAAAAAAGTTTGTCCTTGGAGCATGCCCACAAGCACTGATCAGCCTGCTGGGATATGTAGTTCATGGGGCTGTCGGACATTTTTTAAAAATTTGCCTTCTGAGCATGTGCACAAGCACTTGCTGAGACTGCTGGGATATGGAGTTCACTGCTGTCCTCCCTCTAATCTTTTCAATTTACCCCTTCCCCAAAGGACAGAAAAAAGTTGTCTTTCTTTGAGAGTTTGTAAAAAGAAAACAAAGTTTTGAGCAGCCTCTATGGGGAGGGTGAGTGTGTGTGAGAGAGAGAGGTTCATATATGCAGTTACACTCTCCTTACTAACTAGTAAAACAAAATGGCAGCTGGAAAACAAGAGACCAGTCAGACCTGCCTAACAGCTTGGGTGCGCAACAGAGTGATCACACAGCAGGAAATCCATTTTGGAACCAGCTCAGTTCAACTGGACCAGACTTTCTCAGGTATCAAAGAAACATGTGGGGGGGGGGGGGGGGACAGATGACTGAGGCGTGAACAGAACATTCTCTATGTTGCTATGCAGTATACTATCTGGGACTAGCCCTTCAGTAGGCTTAAAAACTTTTTATATGTGGACAAATCTCTATGTGGCGTTCTTGCCCATGTATACAAAGTATAGAGAATGTTCTGTTCATCTGCAAAACAGGATTCAAACACTTAATGGCTGCTGGTAATCACTTCTGATGTTTTCCATCGAAACGAAGTTGAAGCTGGACTCTTCGTAATTTGTTGATACTGTTGCACTGTAAACTGTTGGAAAACTGTTGACACTGTGAACTGTTGGTTTGTAATATTGTATGTCTTTTAAATGTATTTCCATTTGCACACTTGATGTGTTTACTATTTTAATACATATTTTTGGCATATGATAGTGACTTTCTCAATTTGTGTTTTGTTATTTCTATATACTGGGAGGTTTCTGCTGTGTTGTTCTTAGAGCTATTCTTTTGTGCATGACTACTTCTAAAAAAAAAAAATTAAATCATCAGTGCCACTGACACAAACATTGAAATAGTAATTTATTGTTTCAGAAATTTGTTCCAATGAATGAGGGTTTCAGCTTGAGCAGAAAGCCTAACATTCTAACCATTTGCGGTATATTCTGGCAGGCTTTTGCAGAACAGCAGAATTACTTCTTGCTTGATAGACAACTATATATGACTTGGATATTTCAGTTTGTGGCTCATATCTGAGTTCACATGCAAGGAAGGGAGAGGACAGGGAAGTTATTGGAGTGCCCGTTAGAGAATCCCAGAAGCTCAGAAGGCCTGTTATCAGGTAAGCTGACCTGCCTTTTGCATATCATCTTGCTGAGCCTTCAGTTCTCTGGACTAATTTTTTTGCTTGCATCTGCAAAATGAACAAGTCAGAACAGGTAACCGGGCTCAATAACTGAATGCAGCATTGGCTTCACTGCCCCATCACCACCACTAGACCTAGACCTTCGTAATTTATTCAAATGTTGATTTAGAAAATGCCCTACCCCCTTGGCTCTGCTGCAGCTTCCAGAAACCAACAGCTTTTCCTCATGCTACCTCCCCACATTCCTGGTACAGTAAAGAAAAGGGAACCTGGCAAATTGCACTGATCCATGATAATTTCCATTAGCCATGAGGACAGGGAGAGATTTGGCACACTGAACCACCCGGTGCATGTATTTGGAGGGTGGGGGAAGAGGTTAGATGCACGTTCCTTTAATAATGTCTTACTTCGTAAGAATCTGCCAAGATTGTTCTACTCTTGACAGGCAGCAGCTCCTCAGAGGCAGAAGACCTTTCCAGCCCTTTAACTTTAGTGTGTTAACTGGAGATGCTAGAAATAGAACATGCAAAGTATGTGCTCTACTTCTGAGTCATGGTCATTCCTTACTCCTGTCTTTTGAGCTCATTTGGGACTGCAAGTGCCTATCAAATTCTCTACAGGTGGTTGGAATACCTCCCTCTGTATGTGTGCAAAGTGCCAACAAGTCACAGCCAATTCATAGTGGCCCCACAGGGTTTTCAAGGGCAAGAGACATACAGAGGTGGTTTGCCATGGCCTGCCTCTACGTAGGAATCCTGAACTCCCTAGGTAGTCTCCCATCCAAGTACTAACCAGGGCCAATGCTGCTTAGCTTCCAAGCTCTGACAAGATCGGGCTAGCCTGGGCCACCCAAGTCATGGCAGGAATACCAGAGCAGAGCCATGTTTCTTCTTCTGGAAACCAGGTATCCACAAAGTTCAGCCGAGACATCTCTTGGTCCATTTTTTTCTGAGTAGTGTAAAACACTATGACTTTAGTTGAGTTCACATATTGTCCTTTGAAGCAGCTGGCTCATTGGCATGGATGTATGTATAATTTACACAAGAATATGTATGTATAATTTTCCACACAAGAATATTTTCCTACACAGATACCATCTTCATGTAGATGCAGGTAGCATGTCTGTCGTTACTGTGATTGTTTCCATACCAACTATTTTGTCTGCTACTGGAAAGTGTCGAACCCCCACACTTCTACACAGCCAGAAGGGTTCCCGTAGGGAATGTTTTGCCATAATGCACACATCTATGCACCTTCTGGCTTTTCTGTGATGTTTCCAAAACTTCCTTTATTATGATTGGTTTGGAAGGATTATACCAAAGCCAGGATAGCTGCCATGTGGACAGGAAAGTCCAGATCTTTCCTGGTTCCACCCATGACCTGGTGCCACTGGGGGGCTTTGGTTTTGTTTTTTTTGGTTTTTGTTAACTGGCAATTGCTCAATCACTATATTGTTTTAACAATCTATCCACTAGGTCCTCTAACAAAAGTCTTTAGCCAGCCCTTTCACTGTGCAATATAAGGGGAAAGGTGTATCTTTACCTTTTAAAAAGAATGCCAGGGATTCAGAGGACCTAGCAGATAGCTTATTACGATCCAGTGGTGATCTAAAAACCAAAAAGCCCACCAGTGATGCAAGGGGGCAGAGAGAACTAGCTGTTGCTGGGGACTGGGACAGGAAAAAATGTGAGGAAACACACCATATTGAAGCCCCATTGCTCCTGGTGGATGTAGCAGCAGGTGTGTGCGCATACGCACACACACACACAAGGAAACTGTTGTTGTGTAGAGAACCCCTAGGTGAGAAGTGCACAATCTGGTATATTTGTGGAGTACATACAGTTTGGCTACATGGAAATGATATCTGTGTACAAAAAAATCTTCTATGTATAGCAGTTCTAATGTAATTGTTTATTGGGTGGCCACCTGTTAGTAGTGGAATAAATTACCATCACTAGAAAATTGGCATTTGGGGATTCTTTCTCCTCCATGTATTGTTGCGGAGGACAGCAGCTATGAAGGCAGGAATGTAAAGTAATTGTCTCTGTACACCCATGTGACACCTTTATTGAATCCTGTTGCAAAGTATTGGACCACAAAGCATAATGTACAATTGCTGCTTTCACAGACATGTATGCTTATTGCCTGCTTTATTGGGCCACACTTCACTTACTGTGCAAATGTTTAATTGTTTCCTCCAATGCTAGCTTCTGTCTTTCTTCAATTTTCAACCTGCCTGAAAGCAAAAGAAACTTCTTTAGCAATTTCAAGCAGGGCTTTTCTTCTCCTTGATCTACCATATTTTGCATAAGTTGCTATCTTGAGTCCCCTATGCAGCCTATAGAAATCAAATAAACAACTCTGCATTGTGATTTCAGCTCTGCGACTTTAAATTCACATACATTTTCTTTGACTGAATCCAGACGAATCAGCACTGCCTTGAACTGATGAGGAAAACAGGCTGGCACATTATGCAAAATGTTCCCTGCCCGAAAGAGCTTATGGCACAAAGAGAAAGAGGACCTACAATTGCTGAGGTTATACTTTTCCTTACTAAGCACTCCTGTGTTTTTGAGGAAATAATTTAATCTTGACTTGATTAAGATCCAAATGTACAGGATCTATGCAGGATAGGTCCATATACACAGATAAAATTACTTGTTTGAAAGCACTTCCATCCCTGCAGCTGGAATCCTAACATGTCAGAGAAAAGACTTCTCAGTTATTTAAATTATCATTGTTCATGGACATTTTGACAAGGGGGCTCTTTCAAATGACTGGGACTGGGACAGGAAAAAATGTGAGGAAACACACCATATTGAAGCCCCATTGCTACTGGTGGATGTAGCAGCAGGTGTGTGCGCATACGCACACGCACACACACACACACACACAAGGAAACTGTTGTTGTGTAGAGAACCCCTAGGTGAGAAGTGCACAATCTGGTATATTTGTGGAGTACATACCATGTGTATATACCAGGTACAGTCTCAGAATTCTTGTGGCCCCGGTCAAACGGCCAGATAACGCGGGGTGTGTGTGTGTGTGTGGCTGTTCGCCCCGGAGCAAAATAAAGTGCGATAGCCCGATCACATAGTCCCCTGAGTCTCTGTGCTTCAGCTTCGGCAATGCTGCAGCATGGCAAAGAAGCGGCGTGACGTGATCACACAAGCGTTTCGCGTTTGTGTGCATGTGCAGTTCCGCAGTGCAGCACTGCTTTCAGTTTCGTGTTTGTGTGCATGCGCTTACGAAAAACATCCAGTTTGCGACAGAACGTGTATGGGCGCTGGATGCCACAAGATACTAGTGCTCCCGTGATCAGATGTCTGCCTGTGCCGTGCGTTTTCCGGATACTAGTGCACTTTCCTTGGTACTTTTTAACTCCGCATCTTCGGCGGGACGCCACAGGTGCACTACGCTTCTCAGATGTTGCGGTGTGATTGCACTTCGAAAATCCTCCCGACATTCGTGCCTTTTGCGTGGCAAATTCTCCATGTGACCAGGGCCTTTATTGCATACAGGTATCCTGCCTGTCTTCTCTGAAATCAAGTACCATAGATGAGATTCCCAAGAGGTCACGTATTCAGACACTGACCAGACCCATATTTGCTTAGTTTCAGTACTGTGACAACATCATAGCATTTGGAAGGAGCTCAGTGGCAGAGGGTCTGCTTGGCATGCAGAAGGTCCCAGGTTCAATTCCCAGCATCTCCAGTTAAAAGGATCCAATAGTAGGTGATGTGAAATACCTCCACCTGAGACCCTGGAGAGCTGCTGCTAATCTACATAGACAATACTGACTGTGATGGACCAATGGCCTCATCCAGTATAAGGCAGCATCATGTTTGATGACACTCCTTCAGATCATGCCCTTGGACTAAAGGGAAAGATTATCATGTACTTCTTACCCCCAACATTTAAATCAGCTCTTAATCCAGACTGCAGAATTGACCAAGGTTAACGGATGCCACTACTATTGGAAACAGGCTTACATCCAAGCTTATTTTAAAAACTGTGTATGCTGTCCTTGTCAAAGACCTTCAAAGCCAAGTCCCCCGCTTCCTCTACACATTTCTTACCTTCCATTGCACTAACATGCTCCGCTGTGAGCCTGCTGTCTTCTTGTAAGGCATCAATCTCAGAGCTGAGAGCGACACGTTCGCTCTCCAAGTTCTGCAGGGCTTGGTGCAGCTGAGCGTTTTGAGCGTCTGACCACTGCAGGTAGGAAACAGCCACAACAACAATGTACTGGTAGGCAAAGCAATAACTGCAATGAGAGCCAGGAGGGTTCCCATAAAGAATGTATGACCACAATGCATGCATCAAAAAACAGAACAAAGCAGCCCATTCCTTTATTAGGAATGGCTCTGCTTAACATTTTAGCAGACGAAAAATGATAGCTGACACATTCTCTTCCCTGTGAATGGTGATGAATGGGTAATGCTGAAAGACAATGGTCTGCTCTTCTTTCTAGATATTTTACATAGATGGAATTATTTTATCAAAAACAACTTTCTAAAGTAACTTTGCAACAGAAAGATATACTGTTTGGGGAAAACTGCAAGATTGGTGCAAATAATGTGCTGTATTAATTTCAATCACTGTGCCTTTGGTCAGTTGTTTCTTGTATTTTATTTTCCTTTTTTAATTTTTATTTATTAATTCCATTTGTATCCCGCCAGTTGGTACAAGGTACCATAAAATCCACATAAAAACATTTAAAACATTTTAAAACAATCGAATAATCATAAAGTGCTAGTAATAATAATCATTCCATCATTAATTGAGATGGCATGCTATATGATGTAACAGCAGACAATTTCCGACTCAGTGATTTTCTGGCGTTGCACGATGGTATGGCTCAATCTCAAAGCTGAGGCCGGCCCATAACCAGAGATGTTGGTGGTAGTGGTGAGGGCGGCTCCTAAATGAAGGCCTGGTGGAAGAGCTCCGTCTTACAGGCCCTGTGGAACTGTAGAAGATCCTGCAGGACCCTGAACTCTTCCAGGAGCTCATTCCACCGGTATGTAGAAAAGGAAATGGATCAAAACATATTTGTAGGAAACTTAGCAATGCTTGTGCTTGAAAAAGAACTGATGTTTTTCAGTTTCCTCTATTGTTGCTTTTACACAGGATTTTTCATGGAACACAGGAGGCCCCAGATTCAAACAGGAGTTTTCACATGATGTTGAGTTCACTGTGGGCACAACTCCTGGCCCTCTCTCCTTTGATCTGGCACAAAGGAGGAACTGAGAGGTAGCTGTAGGTGGATGGTCCATCTGCAGCCAATACAGGGAGGGCAACAGAGCTAAGCTCCACATTCAAAATGGCAGCGCTAGTTAAGCTCTGCATTTTCACCCTCCCTTTGACCCCTTAAAGGGAAAAGGGGGAGTTGCTGGACCGGGGGGAGGGGACAATGCAGTCTCTGTTGTATCTGAGCTTGTGTGCAGATATTATGGAGGAAAAGGGGGATGGATGAGAGTTGGCAGCAATAAGTGCCTTGGGAATGAGGCATATTTTTCCACCTGATCCCATGCCACTTGCTGCCGCTGCCACAGAGTGGGTACATCTTTGCACCCCCCATGCAGAAACAGCCTAAAATACAAACTGTTATACAGAAGTTTCTGAACATACTGCACTCACTGCTATGTTTGCTCAGGGCCAAACTGTATGCTATGTCTGCTGTGAGTCACATTGGTGTTTCCCAACCCATTTTACAGACAAATGTCACCTCTGGGAAGTAATGTTCCCAAGCCCTCTGCTTGGGAGTATGGTGTGGTGGGAGGAGGAGTCTTTGTGTGCTACAGCTGTGTCATGGAAGAGAAGTATCTAGGATACGATGATGAGATAAACACCACTGTTCTCAGTACATCAACATCAGATGGACATGTGTTTAGTCACTCTCCTGGTGATTCTGTGATACTAGCGATTATTACTCCAATTTTTAGGTGAGTCTTTCAAAGCTGATGGTCTGGTGTAAAAAGTGTGACTGGATTACAGCTTCACAAAAAGTCTCACAAGTTACCTGCAGGTTGTTCTCCAAGACATGAAGCTTGTTTTCTAGTTCAACGTGCTTGTCAGCTAGTTGGCTCCAATCATTTTTTATTGTGTTGTAGTGTTCTTTCCAGAGGCTGCAGTCTTCCTCTGCAACAGCTAATGCTCTCTAGGAGGAACAAGAGAAGTGAGAGTTAGCAATAATGCCTTTTGGACACACACAATCCTGCAAGCAACAAAAAGAAAGAGATTAGATGGGAGTCCATAGTGGATGCAATGATTTTCCTGTTAGGCCTAAACCATGATGGAAACTCAAGAAAGAATAGCAGAAAAAACTGCTTATTGCACACTTCAATGGCACCATTTCCTCTTCCTTTAACCAATACACATTTTATTTCTTTCTGTCTCTATATATGTTCAGTTAAGCCAAAGAAATTGGCTGGACTTTGGGATCAACAAAGGCATCACCTGTAAAAAGCTTTTACAAAGAGCGCATGACTTTCAGAAATACTTTCTGGCACTCTCTGGAACAACAGAGGATTAATCAATTTCCCTGTGACAAAGCAGCAAGAGAGGCCATTTTCCCCTGAGGGACAGCAGTGTGCCCTAAAAAGTACATCCATGGTATCTTGTTTCACTAAGAAATTTTCTCTACTGTCTTTCTATATGGTGCCATCTGGTGGAAAGATAAAGGAAGGAGACTTCTAGTCTTATGTACCATGTGCTTTTCAGTCCTTCCCTTGTCGGTAGTGTGCATATGTGAAAAACAAAAAGGCAGTTCTAAATAAACAGTATCAGGCTCCCAAGATGTTAAAAATGCAGATATTTTTAAAGTGTTTGTACTTGATTACTGAACTAATTGATGGCCATAACCAGTGTTCCCTCTAAGCTGAGTTAGTGTGAGCTAGCTCACCATTTTTTAGCCTCCGGCTCACAGATTTTGGTCTCAGCTCAAGAAGGAGGGCTCCAGAGCAAACTAATGTAGGCAGCAGCCAAACTGGCCGCTCACAACGTTAATGCCAGGAGCTCGCAAGGTAGAATATTTGCTCACAGGACTCCACAGCTTAGAGGGAACATTGGCCATAACCTTGTGTGCAGTTTTGGTCTCCAGGCTCTGTTTGGCCATGCCCCAACTGCACTATAGCAGGTACGGGTTTGGTCCAACAGTTTCAGCTTAAGGACCAGAGTGCTATCCATCCCACTTGCACTGAGCGAAGGATGGTGTATTTGCATGTGTATAAGTATATATGCATGCAAGTGAAAAGGGATAGTCTCATTGCAACAGAATAGCTCTTCCGCTGCTAGCAACTCCTATGCTGTACTATCTGAAAGAGGCTGTTGTAGACAATTTACAATGTAGGCCATAAAATAAGTGCAAAAGATACCAGTCACAGTGCATCTATAAAATGTTATTGCTATAAATGGTTGCTTGGTTGTGCAATCAATTAATTAATTACTCTCATATAAAGAGTTTCCCCCCTCTATTGTGTAAGGCTATTCACTGCTGGCAGCATGAATAACAACAACAACAACAGGCACTTGAAGAAAGAAATGGAAGGACTCATTCTAGCTGCACTCAGAAAAAATAGTATGAAAGACAAGATTCAGAAGACCCATGATAACAGTAAATGTCAACTTTGCAAGACAAAGGATGAAACAGTCAACCACATGGTCAGTTCCTGCAGTAAATTGCTCAAACTGACTCTAAAGAACATCACGATAGCATTGCAGCTATGTTGCATTGGTATCTTTGCAAGAAGTATAGCTTACCATCAGCCAGAAATTCATAGAAGCACAAACCAGACAAGATCATGAAGAATGATCTTTGGGACTTCTGATTACAAACAGATAAACACCTGGAGCATCACATCCCTGATCTGAAGAAGTGCACATGCACACGAAAGCTGACGCCTTGAATAAAACTTTGTTGGTCTTAAAGGTGCCCCTGGACTCAAATGTTATTCTACTGCTTCAGACCAACATGGCTACCTACTTGAACCCAACATAATCGTAGGAAAAAATGAGACCTACAATTTGGGTCATTGACAGTGCAATCCCAGGAGACAGCAGAATAGAAAAAAAAGAACAAGATAACATTATGAAATGCCAAGACCCTACAAGTAGAATTAGAGGGCCTCTGGGAAAAGAAGGTTACCAATCACACCAGAAGTCACTGAAGCCCTTGGAGCAGTGCCCAGAAGTCTCAAGAAATACCTGGACATTCTGGGCATTGAACAGATAACACCGGCTCCGCTCTAGAAGACAGTGTGCTTGGAACAGCAAGAATCCTGGGAAGATACATCTGCAATTTCCAAGAACTTGGCTAGATCTCCAATTGCAGAACACCACCTACCAGTCAAATTATCTGACTGTGACAATTCATCATCACCATCTATTTATTTTTATTTTATTTATTTACCTTCAATTTCTATCCCGCCTTGCCGGTGCAAACTAGGTTTGGGAACGAGAGGGACTGCCTTGTCCAGGACCACTAAGTTATTTCATAGCAGAGGTGAAATTCAAAATAAACTTCCTGATTTATAACTCAGTCTGTTAGGGCTCAGATATGCATGATGTTGGGAGTTCTGTAGACAGACCTCCCAGGAGTTTTTAAAATTCCATTTTAAGGCATGCAGGGCTCTGACAGATCAGGAGAATTGCACCAATCAGACTTGACAGAAAAGACTCATATATTGAATGGCTTCTTTAAATGGTCATTTGCGGCCCCAGGTGGCTGCTGTGAAGACTGGGGAAGGGTTGCTGGGGAAGTGGGTGGAGGAGGAAATTGGATTTTTTACCCCACCTTTCACTACCCAAAGGAATCTCAGAGCAGCTTACAATCCCTTTCCTTTCCCCATAACAGGCACCCTGTGAGGTAGGTGGGGCTGAGAGAGCTTTCTTGAGAACTGCCCTTGAGAGAACAGCTCTGAGAGAACTTATGACTCACCCAAGATCACACCAGCAGCTGCATGTGGAGGAATGGGGAATCAAACCTGGTTCTCCCAGATTAGAGTCTGAACTCTTAACCACTACACCAAACGGGCTTAACCTTTTCTTGCTCTGCTTCTCCCACACTTTCAATTGACTCTCCAATTGGACAACTAACTCTTGCAGGAAATCAGGCAGATTCCTGCCACAAGATGGAGTGATAAGATTAGGGATGGGCATGAACCTAAAAAATCCAGTTTGGTTTGGGTTTAGGGAGGCTCCCAAATTGAACCCTGAACAGAACCGAGCCCCCAAACCCCCCACCTGAACCAAGCCAGTCTAGTGAGTTTGGTTTCCCCTTTCTCCCAGCTGTGGCTTACCACAAACAGGAGAAAGGAGGGGGATTGCCTGAAAAGGCTTAAATGATTAGCAGCCATTTAACCTGTCCGTTTGCTTCTCCCCACTCTGAAGCAAGGGGGAGCAAAACTGACAGGTTTAATGGCTCAGTGCCACTTAAACCTAACAGCAGGATGGGTGCCCTAACCTAACAGGTCAGCTGAAGTCCCATGCCGCTCAGCTATTAGTTTTAAATGGCTCGAACAGCTGAATTGAACCAGACAAAAATCCAGTAAATGTTCATGGAAGGTGCCTTCCCTGAACAACAGTTTGGGGACTCTAAACTGGCCCAAGTTTGTGTCGAAGTTTGGCTTGTGAGCCAGTTCATGCCCATCCCTACATAAGATACTTTGGAAGCACACCTGTCACATTACTTGGGAGTTTTAGCTTTGATTCTGAGGGCTGCTTAACAAAAACCAAGCTTCCAATATGGAAGACCCTAACTTCCCGGGTAGCACAGTATGCAAATTCTGTTCAGAAAAAGCCATGCCAGGCTGCCATTCTGTGCCTACCTGGGCATTTTGGAGTTGTCTTTCTGCTTGCAGTTTCTCCTCAAGTAATTTCTGAAGAGAGTCTTTTACTTTTTGCTCATAGTTCTGCTTCTGGGCCTCCATCTCCAGCAGAATTTTCTTCAAACCTCGTTTTGAGAAAGTCTAAAGAAAAAGACCAAGAGCTAAAGAAAACTTCCTGGCTTAAAGAGACAGGAATATATTAGAGCCAACCAAACCTATGGCTCACCAAGGTAAACATTCTATTTTGAATGTTGAAATGACACTATCTATCTTGAAATGACACTCAGGGGTCATTTCCTGCAGGAGCACACAGGAGCGGAGCTCCAGCAGTAAAGAGCCCAGGGGGCGGGCACATGCAACAAGCCCCACCCCCTGCTCCCAGCAGCCCCAGGCCACGAGGAGCAAGAAACCTCTTTCTTTTCTTTCTTTCTTTCTTTCTTTCTTTCTTTCTTTCTTTCTTTCTTTCTTTCTTTCTTTCTTTCTTTCTTTCTTTCCTCCCTTCCCTCTTTCTTTCCTTCTCTTTCTTTCCATCCCTCTTTCCTTCTCTTTTTCCCCTCCTTCCTGCACAGATCTGCATGTGTCCCCCCTCCCCCCAGCTAGCAATCCAAAACAGTCCAGTGGCACCTTTAAGGCCAAGGTTTATTCAGGTACAAGCTCTCCCTCCTCTGCTAGGGCAAATCTGCGCGTCCCCCCCCCCATAGTTAGCAATCCAAAAGTCCAGTGGAGCCTGAGCAGTGGGTTTTGCCTTCTGACACACTTCCGGTGATGTCAGGAGGTGTGGCATATGAAAATAAGTTATGCTAATGAGTTATGCTAATGAGCTCCTGCACCTCTTTTTCTATGAAATGACCTCTGGTGACACTGCATTCAATTTGAGTTGCTCCATAATTCTTGTTAACGGCAGATTATAGCTGAGCTCGTCTGTAGCATGCAGAACAGCAGCCTTTTTGAAATACTGAGTTTAAATTTACTATAAAACAGACTAGGAATGGCCAAACAGGGACCCATCACAAGCCAATATCAACCTCCATATCAGTGTTATCTGGCCCATGAATTATGTCCCTATCAAAATGCTAACTCAAGTGCAGTAAAATAATTGCTGATAGTTTTACAAGGCTTCACCATGTTTACTTCCCATAAGTATTTTATTACTATCTTATGTGAATTCTAGAAAGAGAAGGCACCACTGTTTCATGTATGATCTTTTACATCTGAACATATGTGCTCCATGTCTATAAAGTAGTACATCTCAGTGATTCCACAAATGTTAGAGAACCTAAACATCCATGGAAGAGCTCAATAGATCAAGTCTTGGCATTAGTATCTGGAGAACAGAGCAGCTCCCAAGAATATAGAAGCTGCCCATCCCTAATGTAGGAACCAAAACTACTGAAACAGGTGTTACCATTTTAGTCAAGACATTACCTGGGTAGAAGTTTGCAGCTGATACTCCAACACACTCACTCTACTCTTGAGTTTGTCTTCATTTATCTGACCCTATCAGAAAAAAAAATATGGTCAGAAATTTCAAATAATCAGACTGCAACAATTTGTTAAAAGTAACAAATAAAAAGACCCACTGATACTCTGGTTTGGTTCACTTAACTTATATTTTCTGTAGCCCCTCCCCCAAATGAAAGGCTGCAATCCAGCCAAAGAGAAGCATTTCTAAATTCCATCAATTTCAGTGATATGTAATTAAGCACGCTGATTTCAGTGGCAATTAAAACAACTGAACGTTAGTTGAATCCTGCTAAACTGTGCTTCTTGTAGGTGGAGATGATTGTAGGGTTGCCGGGTCTGGATTGGAAAATACCTGGAGACTTTGGTGGTGGATCCATGAGAGGGCAAGGTTTGGGGAGGGGAGGGGCCTCAGCATGGTACAATGTCATAATGTCCATCCTTCAAAGCAGCCATTTTCTCCAGGGGAGCTGATCTCTGTCAGATGGAGTTCAGCTGTAAAGTGGGAGATCTCCAGGCCCTACCTGGAGACTGGCAACCCTATGATGATTGACTGCATAAAGCAAGGGAGTTTTCTAAAATATCATTGTAGATACGAGTAGTGAGAGAAGAGTGGAGACCACCCTAGGATGACATCCAATAGCTATTCAGCCTGTCTTTTGGACGTCAAGCAATTAAAACAAAGAGCTACAGCTGAATAAAAGGACCCTGGTGAAGTAGGTCTGGTAGCTGGCACTGATGCTTGCCAGAGATCACGGATCTCCCCACAGAGGGCTTTCCATTTTGATAGGCTGGCTAGTGCCATTATGATAATTACTTTACGGCGGAAGATCCCTGAACAAACCTCATGAGGAAGCTTTCAGCCATAAGATTATCTGATCCTAGAAGGTCAGTAGAAACATCTGGGATGGTATGGAGTGCAGATTGGCCATGGTGTTTTGTTGCTTTGATGTGCCGGGACCTGGCCTGAATCAGAGATTGGGGGAGGAATACAGGTGCTCTTTATGGTATGACAGAGCACAGGAAATATAGTAATCCAGGCTGTGGCCTTCCTAAGGTTGCCAAGTCCTCCCTTACCACCAGTGGGGGGTAGCTTCCGGGCCCATCACCATAGCAAGAATGACTAAAGTGCCAGGAAGAATGGAAGTGTCAGTTTTTGGCATCTGCTAGTTTGCTGAAGAGTGGGGAATTTCAGACAGGCGCTATCTCCCCGGTTGAGAATCGGTTCCCTACCGGGATCTGACTGCCATTTCACACACAAAAGTCTCTTCCGTATAGGAACCGGGAGGGAAGCGATTTACCTGTCAACCGCTTCCAAGGAATCTTCCGTTCCCTCTCCCGGTTCCGATACGCTTCTTTCCCGCCTTTTTTCGGCCGCGCGGGCTTTTTTTTTTTATATAAATAAAGGCTTTATTTACTCTCCTAAAAAGGTGTTAGATCCCAAATCAGGAGAATAGATCCACGTTCAAAAGAAGAAGGATTTATTTCCAAAGCATGGTTGATCACGAACATACAGAGATTGTTAAGAATAACTACAATACCCAGGGAAGGTGTATTAAAAGGAAAATCAAACCAGGTTTAAACCAATGAACATATTTCCCTCGTCAGGTTCACAGATTAGAAAAGGCGCGAAGCGGGCTGAGAACAGCAACGGCCAATTCCATAAACACAGGTTGAGTTCACACGGGAAACCTAAACAAGCCAGAGCTTCAAGACATAACACCACATCACACCAGCTGGAGACCTTGGCAGTTACAGAGGCACTACATGAACAGGATAAGGCTTTGGGAGACAGGGAGGGGGATGGGACATGTCCCAGGGAAATGGCAGCTCGCTGACACCCTGTGGTTTACACAGCGGGGGTCCCCCCCCCGTGGGCAGAGCGAGTGCAGCGTTTCCTCTGAAATTATGGAATAGGAAGAGCCAGTGTCTATTTCCATGCTGCAGGGGGACCCCTCTATAAGCACCGTCACGTGCACCTTATTTGGGCTATCGGAGGGCAAGTTACATAACTGGTGCTGCTGCTGGTGAGCTGAGAGGGTATGCAGGTCCGTGTGTTGATCCGAGGTCTGGTGGGTCGAAGTCTTCTGTGGTGGTCGTCGAGAGCGGAAGACCCTGATGATGTGGCCAGGCTTGTTGCAGGAGCGGCAGATGGTATCCCGGAACCGGCAACCACGGCATTAATGCGCTTCCCCACAGCTGGCGCATTGGGGCGGTGCCGAGGGGGCTTTGGCCGATTGTGCTCCCCCGGGGCGATGCTTCTGGGAGGGACGGCGGCGGACCTGGAGCACTTCATTGTTCTCGGAGTCGTCCGACTCAAGCGTTGCTTGAGTGTGATGGACCGCCCGCAGCGGTCTTGGTGCGCCTTCTCGTAGGCCGCTGCCTCCCTGAGTGCCTTGTCTAGGTCCAAGTCGTCCTGGCTAACCAGTTTCCTCCCGAGTTTGGGTTCCCGGAGACCCAAAGGAACTAGTTTAGCAAGGTGCCTGCCAGGTGGGGAAATGAACTTGGACTCGTCCGGCCCCTGGACCCGTGTAAAAAAGTTCATGCGCTCAGCAAACTTTGTGGGCTTTGGTGAAATGTGGTCGGTCAGTGCTTTCACTGCACCACATAGGACTCGTACTTGGTCTGCTTAGGCGCAATGAGGTCCTTAAGCAGCAAGACGGTGTCTATGCCACAGGACCGGAGGAGATGGGCTTTTTTCTT